ATTTTTTGTATTTTTAGTAGAGACGGGGTTTCACCACGTTGACCAGGATGGTCTCGATCTCTCGACCTTGTGATCCACCCGCCTCGGCCTCCCAAAGTGCTGGGATTACAGGCTTGAGCCACCGCGCCCGGCCTCTCTTCCTGTTCTTTATTAATGGATAGGAGACAAGGATACTACTATAACCTAGGTATAACAGTGAATGTATATACCCCATAACTGATAAGGAAGGTAGAAGACCTAAGAGCCAAAAACGTAATAGAACAATAATCAGGGAGGTCAACCCCTTGTCGATTATGAATTAGGTCACAATGCATGATAATGTAGCTGAGATTAAATACCCCAAATTGGACCTCATCGTAGTTTGGTAAAAGAATTGGCACAGACCAGAACAAGAGCCTAAGAAAATTTTCTAAAACTATAATGATCACATCCTGGCCAGCCAACTAAACATTTAGTTACCAGATGTACCCAATAAAACAGCAGGACTTAGCTGTGTCCCACCTAGCTGGAAAGCTGCAAACACCTTGCATAGACAGGCATACACACACACAAATGCCATTTGGTACAAAAAGAAAATGTTAGTAGGAAAGCAAGGAAAAGACGTGAGGCTGGTTTAAATCTCACCTCTGATACCCACTTGCTATCTATCCTTAGGTGAGTTACTAAACTTCCTGCTCCCTGGTATCTTAATCTATGGAATGGGGATACTGTTATCACCTACTACACAGGACTGCTGTGAAGACTTAGTGGGATACTGCATAATAAACTCCAAGCAGTAGCATTGAGCCGGCCCCAGCCATCGCTCAGTAATAGCTGTTTTTTTGTGTGTGTGTGTTTTTTTTGAGGCGGAGTTTCGCTCTTGTTACCCAGGCTGGAGTGCAATGGCGCGATCTCGGCTCACCGCAATCTCCGCCTCCTGGGTTCAGGCAATTCTCCTGCCTCAGCCTCCTGAGTAGCTAGGATTACAGGCACGTGCCACCATGCCCAGCTAATTTTTGTATTTTTAGTAGAGACGGGGTTTCACCATGTTGACCAGGATGGTCTCGATCTCTTGACATCGTGATCCACCCGCCTCGGCCTCCCAAAGTGCTGGGATTACAGGTGTAAGCCACTGCGCCCGGCCTAGTAATAGCTGTTTTGCTGTGCGCTAGCTAGACATCTGCCTCCCCTGACTACGTTGTCTGTCCCTCCCTCTCTGTGTGTCTGTTTCTCTCTGTCTATATGTTTTGTACACGAGTAATATATACACATATATTTATACAGGAATCCCTGTTAATTTTACAAAAACAAGAAAATAATGTACAAAAAAATTTTTAAATCACTCATAATGCCACCACCAAGAGTAGCCACTATTTTGCTAGGTATCCCTCTGGTCTTTATGTGAATAAACTATGTGTGTGCAAATGTACATGTCTGTCTCAGTGTAAATACATCATACATATACAGGATCATACAATGCATTCTGTCCACTAGATTTTTTTTCCTTCTCAGCAATATATCATGTCAGTAAATATAAAATGTACATTAGCATTTGAAATTACTATTAATATATGGCATTCTATGTTAAGTAAATTCTGTAATTTATTTAGACAATTTTGTATTGCTAGAAATGTTAGCTGTAGCCGGGCGCGGTGGCTCAAGCCTGTAATCCCAGCACTTTGGGAGGCCAAGGCGGGTGGATCACGAGGTCGAGAGATCGAGACCATCCTGGTCAACATGGTGAAACCCCGTCTCTACTAAAAATACAAAAAAAAAGCTGGGCATGGTGGCGCGTGCCTGTAATCCCAGCTACTCAGGAGGCTGAGGCAGGAGAATTGCCTGAACCCAGGAGGCGGAGGTTGCGGTGAGCCGAGATCGCGCCATTGCACTCCAGCCTGGGTAACAAAAACGAAACTCCGTCTCAAAAAAAAAAAGAAATGTTAGCTGTAATCAAATTTTCTGTTACAAACTTTTCTTGTATTAATATTCTGTGTCGATATATCAGGATACTCAGCAGCTCTTACCATGGCCGAGGGTCGTTTTTGTTTTTTTTTTTCCTCAGTGATGATGGATGAATGCTACTGGTCTTGCTCACAAGCCTGCATTTGTATAATAGATGAGTAACACTTGGCATTCTGCAGAAGACTCACAATTTAACATACTAGTACCATGTAAAGTATTCCATACCTAAGTTCAACCAGCAGCAAACAACACAAAGAGTAAGCTGAGTTCCCCAAAACTAGAGTTAAAAGAGTGCAGAATTCATCTTATTGGGTGATCACGGACACATAAATACAGAAGATCAAAGAACAATTAGAAAACAGGAAACTGGGAACAAGCAATCATAATCTCTAGTTTGTGTTTGCACATTTATTTTGCATCAGACAGAGATAAACATTGATTCATAATTATCTTCTCCCCTCCTTCTGTATCTAAGTCATTTCATTGGGTAGTGTCAAGGGCCACATATCTAAGTAAAGTACTAAATTAGTTTTAATAAAATGCATCCAGAATTCCCAAGCAAAAGAAAGGAAGCCTTAGCTAATGAGTTCAGCGTTTCTGTGCACATCGGTAGCATATGTATTCAGGGCCTGCTATTCTAAAATGGAGGTACACAGAAGAGTGCACCAGATGTCCTATCTGCTTCTAGGGAAAACCCGAACTGTGAGAATTGGGTTGGTTTGCTATAATTTGACCACCATTGTTTAGGAATCTGGATGTCTGAATGTCTTGCAATTTTAATTTTTGAATATTTCACTAACATCTGCATAAGAGTAGAGAGATCTTGATCTTCTCAGTTCAGCTTCTGAATCACCTAGAACCATCATTTAATCTTACTGAGCCTCTATAAAATTGAGATACAATCATGCCATGTTTCTACACTCCACTTCATAGTGATATTCCCAGTGCTAGGCAAGAACGTGTTAATTAATAAGAGCTCTTTGAGTATCTTTGAAGCTGCTGAGATGTCTGAGGTGGCATGACAACACACAGCAGGATAATATCATTTGCACTTATTTTGGTATTTATATTAAATATTTATAATGCAGTATTTAAATTCTCAGACAAGTCAGCTCCCCATTATCTATGTTTTGATATTTATTTGTGTCCACTTTTGAGGCAAAATTGACTTCTTTCAGCATCTCACCCTGTTTTTAAGGTGGATTGTCCCTAAAGGTGGAATGTTGGGGACTCTTGCAAACATTTGAGGAAGGGTGCCTCCCAGAAAACTTTCTTTGGTGCCTTTTACCTCCTGCCTCCTTTGCTCACTCATTGGGGTTTTGCCAGGCCTTACACTGCCCCTTACTCCACTCATTTCCCTCTTTGCAGCTTTTCTATTTTGTCCTTCCATCCTTGAACATGGCCTTCCCTTCCCTCTCCTGTCAGCCCCACCCACTCTTATCTCACCCATCATGGTCCTTCCCTTCCTCCCAATGGTTTTGTAGGATTTGCTGTCCTGGCCGCTTGGGCTGTCTCCTGGGTGGCCCATGCTCCTGTTTGGCAAGCCAGCTATGTGGCACTGCTAGGCATGCGTTAGCAGACAGACAAGGCTAGGCCCCTGTTTGTTGACAGGAACAAGATGGAAGACAGAGCGTGCCAGTGTCGCTCCTCATCCCAACCCCATCGTCTGTGTTTGACCCCACTCCTTCTCTGGACTCCTTGGCCTCTGTCGTTCGTTACTACATGGAACAGTGAGATGAGAATGTCAAATTATCTGTAGAGTGCTTCAATGCTAATCTGAAGAAAAGCTACCAGGCCTCATTACCTGTGTGAACTGACACCAGAATGTGAGCACTGAATTAAATCTATTGTCGAATGGATTATGGAAAGCATTATAGCAGGCATTCAGCAGGGACCTAAATGAGAGGACAGCCATCCTGTTTTCCTAACTGTAGAAATTCTCTTTAGTCTTTCAACAAGCATGAGGTTTTTCCCATCCTTTTCGGGGTTGGTTCAGTCAAGATGGTAACATAATCAAGATGTCAGAGTTGGTCCTAAGTGAGGAGGTTCAGGATCCAAAAGCCAGGAGAGGGCATTAATGAGTTTATGGGGTCAGGTGAGTCTTATTCTGTGTTGGATGTCCCCAAGACCATCTTCTGGCTCAATTATACACTAAAAAGAACTCACAGGACTCAGAAAAACTGTTTTACTCATGGTTACGGTTTATTACAGCAAAGGGATACAGATTTAAAGCAGAAAAGGGTGAAGGTGCCAGGAGAAACCAGGCACAAGTGTCCAGGTGTCCTTTCCCAGTGGAGTCAAACAAATATGCTTGATTTTTCCAGCAATGATCTGTGACAACATGTGCAAAGTATTGCCAATTTGGGGAAACTCATCTGAGCCTTAGTATTCAGGATTTTGACTGGGATCAGTCACGTAGACATGCAATATCTGCATGACTGACCTCAGCTTCTCAAACTTCAGCCTCCCAGCACAAAAATAGGTGTTCATCATAAATCACATTGTTGGTATAAACTATCTGATCATACTGGTATTGTGGCCCAAGGCGTCTAGCATGCAAAATACTCTTATCAGGCAGAATATTGCTAGGACTCAGAGCTCATCTCTCAGGAGCTGGTCAAGAGCCAGTCCTAAAAACAGGCCTGTCTTGAGCAACCCAGCCCTTCCCTGCACATATTCCCAGGGTCAAGACACTGGAAGGCTTTGGACACATGACTGAACTTCTCCTACCTCAGCTGTTACCTTCCAAGAGTAACATTCTTCCTTCCACATGGGATCACTGTGATTCAGAATAGTAACGGCTAAACTATTCTCACAAGAAGTAGGTCCTCTATAGCAAGGACACCATAAATTATTATTGTTATGTGTATCGTATCATTATTATTCAGGGGATGAGGCGTGGAATGAGTCCTGAATGCTTCCTTGTTATCTCAGAACAAGTCAGAAATGCCTTTTTCCAAGCTTCTGAAGGCAAAGATGACTTCAGAGCAGCATGTCTCCACTCCACACTGGCGTTTAACCCTCTCCCTTGCTCTTCTCTGTCTCCCTTTACCTGGCAGTGGCTGAGAAACCCTGGCCCCCAGCATGAGAAGCGGACTCTGTTTGGAGACATGGTGTGCTTCTTGTTTATAACACCCCTGGCCACCATCTCGGGCTGGCTGTGCCTGCGGGGCGCTGTGGACCACCTGCACTTTAGTAGTCGGCTGGAAGCCGTCGGACTGATTGCACTCACTGTCGCACTCTTCACTATTTACCTCTTTTGGACACTAGTAAGTATGGGCGATGGCCGGAGTTCAGGCCATTTGGAGCTGGCAGCCTCATAGCTGACACAAGCCTTTCCTCTTGTCTGTAACACATCTCTCGAACCCAGTAGAAAATAGACCTCCGAGGCTGGGTGTGGTGGCTCATACTTGTAATCCCAATACTTTGGGAGGCTGCGGAGGGTGGATTACCTGAGGTCAGGAGTTCAAGACCAGCCTGGAAAACATGGTGAAACCCTGTCTCTGCTAAAAATGCAAAAATTAGCTGGGCATGGTGGTGTATGCCTATAATCCCAGCTACTCAGGAGGCTGAGGCAGGAGAATTGCTTGAATGTGGGAGTCGGAAGTTGCAGTGAGCCGAGATCATGCCACTGCATTCCAGCCTGGGCAACAGAGTGAGACTCGGTCTCAAAAAAAAAAAAAAAAGAAAGAAAAGGAAAAAAAACAGACCTTGCTGGCAGGAGCATGTGATTTGGTTTATGACTACGTGTGTGTGTGCATTTGTCTGTGTGTGTATCCGCGCTGCTAAGGCAGATCACATAAAAGAAAAGCTCAGCTTTTGGGTGTCCATCAGTCAAAGATACACACACACCTTGGACGTTTCACTCTTCTAGTAGTCTACGACTCCATCTGTTATAAGGCATGGCATTTTCTTTCTCTTGTTTATGTTTCTCACTTTTGCCAGGACTATAGTATATTATGAATGATGCACTTGGCCGCTGTTGCTGTCACTGCCTGCACAGATCATGAATCCTCCCTGCTGGTTATTTTCTTCTTATGTCCTGACACAGCCTAAAGTCTTTGTTGGACGTGGAGCTGCACTTTGCCTGATGATTATTCTATGTGTTGGGATATTGACTCTGCTGCCAATAAAAGCACTAATTTATCTAGCTGAGAAGCTGCCACCAAAGAAAGACCATTTCTCAATAAGTGTTCTCGCTGTATATGAGAAAGAATTTTTAAATATCCCCTTTTTCATTCTTTTAACTTTTAACTTCATGCAGTAAGTTGATTGCTTGAGTACCAGTTGACAGCACCCACAAAATGCAACATTTGATCTCTCTCTTTATGCTTTCTTCTGGGAGCTGCAGGGAAGGACATCACTGTCTTCTAGAATATTTCAGAAGCTAGGCCCCCTGCTTCCTGGCATTACTCTCCTGTGCCTGCTCATTTCTAATCTGAGCACGTTCTATTGTTATTCAATATGTATTTCCTGTCTAAAGCGTACCATTCCCATATCCCATAGCACAGTGTCAGCATGTGGAAAATGCTTCTAGCACTCACTTCCTCCCTTTATCTGTCTCCCAGACCCTGTTCCTCCAGCTGCTACTCCCAAGACCCTGTTAATTTCCCTCTTCTTTATCATATGGCTCTTCCAGCTCTGTACCTCCTCTCCAGTGAGTGTTCAGACAGTAAGAGACACATTTCAGTCCCAGTAAAGAGGGAGTGTTCTAATGCTAAGAATTTATCTGAGTCTTATGGTTAATTTAGACATTCTGTTCCCAAGCTAATGAAGCCCCAAGCAAAACTATTATTGCCTCTTTTAAAAGTCTACGCTTCCGGCCGGGCACAGTGGCTCATGCCTGTAATTCCAGCATTTTGGGAGGCTGAGGCAGGTGAATCGCTTGAGGTCAGGAGTTCAAGACCAGCCTGGCCAACATGGCAAAACCCTGTCTCTACTAAAAATACAAAAATTAGTCAGGTGTGGTGGTGCACGTCTGTAATACTAGCTACCTGGGAGGCTGAGGCAGGAGAATTGCTTGAACCTGGAAGGCAGAGGTTGCAGTGAGCTGAGATGGCACCACTGCACTCCAGCCTGGGTGACAGAGCAAGACTCCATCTCAATAAAAAGTCTATGCTTCCAAAGTGTGTTCTGGTTCATTGTGAATCAAGCAGTGAAGCTGTCCCAGAAGCTTCTATTGTGATGGGAGACGGGTTAGAAATAAGAAATGAAGGAGCCTAAGCAGCACCATCTAACTCTTGGTCCATGGCACCACATGGGAAAGTCATTTTGCTTCTGTGAGGCTCAGTGTCCTCGTCTGTCAAGTGGAAATAGTGGTAATGCCCATCCTGCCAAATTCCCCTGGTGTTATGAGATTTAAGTGAAAGTGTGTATGGGAAAGTACTTTGGAGAATAATACAAGCTCTTGCCATGTTTAGAGGTTTTCTAGTCTGTCATTTTTTTTTTTGAAGAGTACCTATGATGAAGGATGGATGAAGTGAGCTGAAATGCTGGGCTTTCAAAACCAATTTAAGATCTTTGGAAATCCTGCTTTGTAAAATATACATTTACCTAACAAGAAAGAAAAAGGGTGATAGGTGACTGGAAAGGAAGGAAGAAAGGAAGAAAAGAAAGCAAGCTATCTCGAGAAATAATGGATGTGACCTTGCTTTGTCCCCCATCTCAGGTGGAAGAAGGTTTGGGTGGAAAAGGTACCTAGACTAGGCGCTTCCAGGAAAATGGTAACATACTTCATCCCGGAAATGTTTCTTACAGGCAGTGCTGTGCATGCATTTAGAATCCAAGGGCCCTGTGTTAAAACCCAAGATTTAGCATCCTAATAACAGTAACTTCAAATAGGATACCTAACCTTTCTGTTCATCCTTCCTCTTATACAAAAAAATACAGGAAATAATTGCTAACCCCTGGGTCAATGGATTATTGCAAACAGTAAGTACATAACATCTGAGAACATACATGCACGCACCTAGCAGAGTGTGGACCCTACGTTCCTTCCTGCGGCTTCCCTGCTCCCCCAGCTTCCACCCTCCCCCTGCCCTTTATAGAATGCAAAGTAGCAGGAGGGAAAGAAGGCATCTGTCCCCTTTGACTGGTGTGAAAAACGTGCTGTGGAGTCAGCTCAGCAATAGGTTACTGAATATAGAATAACTTCTTCCCAGATAAATGCTGTACTGAGCAGCCCTGGCAAGAGCCGTAATTCAGAAGCTGACAGCGCTTGGAAACTGCCCTACAGCAGAAACCCATTGTAAACAAGCTGTCAAGCTTAAGGAGAATATGCTGTGAAAATGTCTTAGATAAACAAACACGGTGTCAGTCCCAGCCTTGCTCCTCAGAGGAGCCATTCCTGGAAGGCTTCCCTGGTAGTATGCAGAAGGACAAGCGCTCACGCCGCTTGGTTCAGAGTGCCTTGGAGTTTCTCGCAGGCACACATGGCCATGTAGTCCAGCCTTAGGGGCTCCCCTGCTGTGGAACCTGCTGTGTTTCAGAAGCACACCTGGGCTCCAGGAGGCCAGGGTGTAGGGGCCAGCTCCATCCTAAGAGCTCAGGGATAGGTGTCCCAGAAACATCACTGTGCATGTCACAAGTGATTTGAAGCCCATGGACAGACACAAAGAGATCTGGATGAGAACTGCGTCCACATTAAACATGAAGAAATTGTCAGTAATGGACTTGGTATTAGCCCCAGTTTAGAGGCTGGAGGAGAATCGAGGCACCATGTATAGGAAGTCTTTCCACTCATGCATCACAGACGCGGCCAGTGTCCAGCGCAGAAGGGAATGCGTGAGCAGCCCGGTTCCTCACAGGCTGACTCCCAGTCTTATGCTTTGATTGTTTAAATTCTTCTTATAAATGCGGAGCCTCCAGTGGAACGCTGTCCCAACAAGGCTCACTGTGGGGCTGCTTAAGACACATCCCCCACACGGCCTTCGAGCAGCCTGAGGGTATTCAGCAGTATTTCCCCATGACCAATATCACTCCTATACTCCTTTGCCCAGTGCAGTCAGAGATAGGTGAGCTGGGCCCATTGCCGCGGAGGCAATTTGCCAAGGCCTGATCCCATCAATCTCCCTAAGTCACACCATCACTTCCAAAGAGAAAGGGTAAAATAAAAATATGTAATCAGATTTCCCGAAGCCTGCTGTGACTATGCACACCTTTGCCACTGCCACAGTCACCTCCCTAATGGGAAGAGTGGATGCTAACATTTTCTAACCCTTCTCATAATATTCATGCAATCACAACTCTGTACAACAGACTTGCCCATGATAGGAGGTTAGTTAGATAAATAAATGAAGAAACTTCAGGAAGCCCATCCCATAAGGGGTAGTATTTTTAGGATAGTGGCCCTTTATTTTCTTCCTCCTCTCTCCTAAACTCAAAAGTTTAGAAAATATCTTAGTGAAATTCCTAGCATTATTATTATAGCATCTTTTTATTTTATGTTTTCTTTTTCCTCACTGTCTTATTCTTCCAAATTAGACCTTCTTTCTTTCCAATTATATTGCATTGCAGGGATGCAGTGTCTTGGAGCATCTAGAGAAGTAGCATTAACCCAGGGCAATGCAAACCTGCAGTCTCCTTGGCCTTGTGCTCAACTACCTTTATTTTCCCTGACAAAGAGGCATCTTCTTATGATGCTTTCTTCTTATTGATTGAATTTGCCTGCAGACTGTGGTGATTAACCACAATTAAAATAGATTAATGTGTAATAAAATCTCATCTGTTTGTCTACACAAGCGGGCTCAATTTTTAAATTTCCTGGCCAAGGAACCAGGAGACCTGCTAAGTCGCTGACTTCCTGTGTTCCTTGAAGCAGTGCGTCTCAGGCTTGAATGCACATGCGGATCACCTGGGGACCTTGTTAAAATGCACTCTCTAATTCCTTAGGTCTGGGTGGGGCCCGAAATTCTGATATTCTAACAAGCTCCCAGCTGATGCAGCCTGCTACTGGTCCAGGACCACGCTGAGAGCAGAGCCTTAAAGACAGTAGCCCTATCTCTCTCTCTTTCTATTTTTTTCTGTTACCCTGTATCTAAAGAGTGTCACAAAACTCTTTCTTATATTTAACACATGTAAAATAACAGCCCAAGAACGCTAAAATGTATGCCCTGTGCTCTGTGCTAGGTGTTTTATATGCATTACATCAAATATCATTGTTCACATCTTACAAACAAGGAAACTGAAGCTTGTTGACAGATAATAACCTCCCCAAGTCACGCAACCACTAAGTAGAGGATGCAGATTCCAGCCTCATGTGCCTGGCTCTGGAGCCTGCGGCCTGCACTCATAGCTACTTCTCCAATTACTAATGCCAAGTGTGCACAGCTCTCAGCATCATGGAAAAGGGGACTCTTGATTTGAAATCCAGCTTTCCCATAATGTTCCCAGATCCCAGACTTCTTATATTGCCAAAGCTACTTATTAGTATAATACTTGTCTGCATTCCACCTTTTTCCTGCCCTTGGCCCTGAACAGCTGGCTTCCCAGCCTGCCTCTCTTACATTCATGAGTAGCACCCAGCAGCAGCAGGACAGAATAGATACAAAAGAATCAAGCTTAAAAAAAACGGAGCTGATCCACTTTGGCATGTTCAGGGACTTTTGGAGGAAAGCACATCTGTGTGAGTTTAAAAGTGTGTATTTTCATACTCAGCTCTCTCTGGCACTCAGCCCGTGGCATCTGCTTTCTAGCCTCAGAAATTTGAATGAGTGGCCTTGAATTTCATGATCCTGCCATGAAGACTAAAAAGCCCATTCTGATCAAGGCCTGCACTTTCATCTACTTCCAGAAACTCCAGCTCAAGCTGTCATGTCAACCCACTTTCTGACCACCATAGACCTTTAATGGTCAACACAACCCACGTACTCCCAGATGATTAAATAGTCCAGACCTGATTTGTCTCTCCAAGCTCATGGGCTCCTTCATTTCCAGCACTTATCTAGACATCAGACTCTGAATTTCCTGGGCAGTCCATCCATGTTTTATGCCAGCCTTCTCCAAAACAAACTACAGGTTTAAGCATCTCATTCCAATGTATATACATAAGCAAGCACCTCAGCTGGGCGTGGTGGCTCACGCCTGTAATCCCAGCACTTTGGGAGACTGAGGCAGGCAGATCACTTGAGGCCAGGAGTTTGAAAACAGCCTTGCCAACATGGTGAAACCCTGTCTCCACTAAAAACAAAAATTTGCGAGACATAGTGGCATGTGCCTGTAATTCCAGCTAATCAGGAGGCTGAGGCAAGGCACAAGAATTGCTTGAACCCAGAAGGCAGAGGTCGCAGTGAGCTGAGATCATGCCACTGCACTCCAGCCTGGGTGACAGAGCAAGACTCCATCTAAAAAAAAAGAAAAAAGAGAAAGGCTTCAGTTTGAAGCCGTGTTGCAATTAGAAAATGTAGGATGCTTATTCACTCATCCATTTACTCAGCAAACTCTGTTGAGCAACTTCCTGAGTGCCAGGCCCTGGAACAGGTGCTGGCCATGCAAAGATGAACACAACACACCCCTGCTCTCAAGATGCTCCCAGTGCAGGGGGAGGAAAAACATGCCCAGTGCTGTTCAGGACACTCAGTGCCGTGTGGGTAAGCTTGAGGCACGGTGGGCACCCAAGGGGGTCATGCCCCACTTAGCCCGAGACTCGAGAAGATTTATCAGGGGAGTTAGTGCCCATGCTGCGATTTCCTTACTGGAAACTATGCATGCTGGAGCTGGAGGCCATTACGAATCATCCACTGGGGCCACCAAGCAGTTGTGCAGATTGTCCACAGGACAGCACAAAGGGTGTGTCCTTCATATCACAGGGTGAGTGGAATCCTTGGAGCTGTGCAGGGTCTAACTTGCAGGAAGGTACATGAAGTCCTAGCATCCCACTCATCTAACAGAGAAGAACCTAGGGACCTGATAGGCACATTGTCCAGATCACACAGCTGGGCGAGGGCTGGCATTGTATCCGCCACTAGTCCAAAAATAAATTCAAACTCAGAAAGAACCTCATTTTCCCATTCATATCCTGAATGTACCCAGTATGAGGAGGAACAGAGGAAGCCACCCATGCAACCTCTGCCCATGTGTCCATACACAGGGTGCTCTGTGGTTGGTGCCCAGTCTTCCAACACTCACTGCGTGCCAGAGCCATTGTGCCCAGGGTTCTTGCCCAGCTGTAGTGCTGCCAGCTCTTTGAAGCTCTTTCAAATGACGTATTTGTTTCTTGCATTGATTAGCCACTTCTGTTGACCTGAATTCTTTTCTCTTACTTTTCCTCTTTCACCCCCAGGTGTCATTTAGGTACCACTGTCGATTGTACAACGAGTGGCGTCGGACCAATCAGAGGGTGATTCTCCTCATTCCAAAGTCGGTCAATGTACCTTCTAACCAGCAGTCCTTGCTGGGCCTGCATTCGGTCAAGAGGAACTCAAAGGAGACAATAGTTTGATGTTTGTGTGGGTGGTTGGTTGATTCCTTGTTTGGGGTTTGGAAGTGTCTGCACTGGGGCCACGCACTGAGCCACCTCCAAGCCCTTCCTTCAGCCTGTGGGTCTAAGAACATCCAGAGTGCGTTAGCACATCACCCCAAGCAACGACCCCTGCCAGAAGAAAGCAAATGCTGTTTTACTTCAAATCATGGATGCTGCAATCATATGATATTTGCTAAGCTGCCAAACATGTTTATTTAGCAGATACTGTATGGAATTTTCTGAACACCTCTTTAACATATGAGGAAGGTTGTCCTGCTACGGATGCAATTCTTCCTTTTTTATTACTATTTCAAACATATATATATATATATATATATATATATATATAAAACTTAGATGATAATCAAAATCAAAAAGCCAATGTAAAAATTGGTTTCTTGGTTTGGTTGGGTCTTACTTGAGTTAGTTTGTTTCTCAGTTCCTCGTGTGGATTATTTGGGGTACTTTGGTAGCCTGAATGATCTTTTTCATCTCTTTCACGTCCGTTACTCAAGGAGACAGCATAACAGATGCAGAACAAGTCATATTTTAAGAATGTTTTGTACTAAACTTCATTTAATTATTCAGTTTTTAAAGGGAAAAAAGGGCGTGGCAACTCTCCACACAGTGAGCTGTTTATTTAAATATCATTAAGAAGAAAATATGGTGAGAAGCTCACTCCTTTCAACTTCTTTGGTACTGACAGCTGATAGAAGCTATTTTCTAATAATAAATATCCAGTGTGTGAAAAACAAAACCCACTGATTGCAATACTCTTTTTTTAAATCATAAAACCTGTGAAGTTTCCCAAAGCAGGTTTTAAAAGGAAAAGAGGGAAAAGCAAAAAGGTTGGTGTTCTCACTCCCATCTCATTTAGTGCATGTCTTAATTCTGCATTCGTAATGAATTGGAGGATCATTAGACATTTCTAGGAACTCTAGACCTGTTTTGCATATCAATTAGCATTCCCATAGCTCTATTGAATTTCTAGCTTGACAGGTAGATGTGGCAAAAAAGCCTGTCCTGGCAGCCCTGCACTTATTGTAAGACCCCTTTGTCTGATTTTTTAAAAAAGGAGCCCCACACAGTGCCTTCCCCCAACCATGAGCCAATTCTGTCACAGGCCGAAATAGATTTTTTCTAAGGGTTTCGTGTCCCTCTTTTATCCGTCGCAGTGTAAAGGGTCTGATCCGCAGCCTGCATTGTGCGCGCGCCGAGGCGGGAGCGGATGCCTTCTGAGGAGAGCGCTGGCTGGGGTTGACTCCCAGGCTCCGGCTGTCCGCCCGCCCACACGCCGCGAGGAGGGGCGGAGCCCTGCTTCGGGAATGCTTAGAATATGGAATTCTAGAACACGACCCACATTCTGAGTATCACTCCAAGCATCTGCCTTGTGCTCCCCAAGTGGGAAAACGAGAAGTGCAAAGGAACAGGCAGCGAAGAGGGTGGCGATTTTTGTCTGCAAATTGATGGAGCTGATGCAGCTGTCCCCTTTGTCGGAGAGCCCTCCTTTCGCAGGCTGCCCTCAGCGCTGCCCGGGGAGGGAAAACAGCTGTACTGCTCTTCGCTGCAAAACTCAGATGTGCTTTATGGCTTGTGACAATAGATTTCCTCCCCACCACGCTTCACTTGGACACTTCAATTCCAGTAACATACGTCTCAGCCCTTCTATTTACTCGGCCCTGCTCACCCCTCTGAGCTGTCATTAGCTCCACCACCATCAACCGCTTCTTAATTGACCTTTTTAAAATGCTGGACACCACCGGCTGCACGCAGCTGCCACACATTAAATTTCCAGAGCAAAGAGTCCAACTTGGTAGCTGGTGAATTGCAGCCCGGTAATATACTTGATAAATGACGTCCACCCGGCCTTAGTCCCTGAGCTGTCAGGTGAACCTGTTGACAACTCTCAACTGAATGGCACAACATTCATGAGAGGACCATGCCCCCTTCTCCTCCCTGCTTCTTCCATGAATTAAGGAAGCGGCGGATTCCCAGGAAGATTTCCTGTCGCGGTAGTGTCTGCAGGGAATTCCTGCCGTCTTGGTTCGTGAGATGAGATATAATGACACCATCGAAGGCAGCCAGGTCCCAGGCAGTTCAATGGGGACCCTCACTTAGGAAGGGTTTGCACATTAATGCTGTGCCTGTGCCACACCTTTTTCTCATGTTTGCATCCCTGCCCTGTGAAGTAAAGCAGAGTCCAAGATCCAAAGAGTAGACTGCATGTGGGGTGGTGGGCAGGACACCCTTGGCAGCCAGGCACAGCATCGGTGCCTCCCTTCCCAGGTCTCCAGCTTGGGACCTCCCTGTGAGAGGCTCTGCTCTCCTTTGGCATCAGGGCCCATTGGAGATTCTGAACTCTTGGAGGTTATTTCATCCTCTCCAAGCCATGCCCTATGGAAAGGGCTCCACCCCCTGCAGGAAGGGGTGACTTTTCTTAATGGGTGCAGAGACACCCTGCGGCTTGCCAGCGGCCTTGCTAGCCTAGTCCTCTTCTTGTGCTGCTTTCTTTTTGAAAGATCAAGAATGAAGAGGAAATGAAGAGTGGGGGTCCTTTACCTAAAGCACCCTGGTGGTTCATTGCTTCTTTTGCACGGACTTTTTACAAAACTCCATCTTTTCCACCCTCCTTGCTGTGATTCTGTCCTAATCGTTTTTCTTGAGCATATCATGCAGAGACAAATGTGTGTCACAGTGAAGCTAGAGGGTGAATTAACAACTAAGACAAATCCAGCGTGCTCTTTCCTGCCCTGCATGTGTGCTCATTTGGGGAAGGACGGAGGACACAGGGCATCGACACAAATTCTACAGCTCCTCAGAGAACTGAGCAGAGACATAGATGAGCTGTAAAGTCCATTAAGGAATAATAAACAGCATGATTTGGAAGTTACTTTGATTTGTCTTTCACTGTCCTAGTGTCCCCTGCCCCAAGTGCCTCGGCCCTGCTGTGGATTGTCACTTTCAGGGGGCTGTAACCACAGGCATTTCATTTTCAGTGAAAGTAACTCATCTGGGGCATGGAGGAGCCCAAGGAGAAAATGGAAGTGAAACAGCAGCCCAACTGACCCAGCGCTTGGGCCAGCAACCAGCTTCTGGTCCTGCTTCCTCCTAAGTCCTTATTGTTCCCATGGGGCACTGACCCTGGCCGGGCTCTGGGTCCACGCCTGCATGGTGCATCTTTCTCCCATCTTTGAATCCCCTCAGCCTTGCCCGACACTCCACACAGCTTATGGAGCTGCCCACACTAGGAAATGACCCAAGACCCAAAGAACCTGAGTAGGAAAGCCAGCTAGGAAATGAATGCAGGAAATGCTTCCTTTCCACTTCAATCCAGAATGCTCCTAGAAGCTGCCTGAAGATCTAACACACAGCTTGTGGTCCTGGTGCTAGACGAGAAATGTAGAGTTGTGATTCTGATGCCTGAAGTAGAATGGGAGTTGAGCCAGCATGTGGGGACAAGGTTCAGGTTTATTTTAGGACAAGAAGTTAGGACCAGGATGAGCCTGGCTTCACATCATTCTTCCCAGACAAGTATATGAGGATCTGCTTTCTGGCAGATAGACCACGTGAAGCCTAGTGCTGCTGAGGTTGGAGTCATGAGAAGTTGGCACTATGGCTAGTGATGTCTGGGCAACTGCTAACTCTCTCAAAATGTGTCAGTTCTGCAGAAATAGATGGGCTACAATCCACCCATTTTTTTTTTTTTTTTTTTATTGGTGCCTTCAGATGAGACACCCTTTCTTTGGCTTCACAAAAGTCTCAGTGTCTAGGAATCGGCTTTAGGACACTCTGCCTTCCCCTTGCTTGTTGCAGTCATTCTGGGGTGATCCTGGCTCCTCTTCCCAACATGACAGAGTGGAAGAGAACCACCTAGGGAGTAAGAGTACGTGAAGGTTTTTTGTGTGGCCTTTTTTTTTTTTTTTTTTTTTTGAGACAGGGTCTCATTCTGTCACCCAGACTATAGTGTAGAGGCACAATCTCGGCTCACTGCAACCTCCACCTCCCAGGGTCAAGCCATTCTCCCACCTCTGCCTCCCAAGTAGCTGGGATTACAAGTGCCCACGACCACACCTGGCTAATTTTTGTATTTTTAGTAGAGACAGCGTATCACCATGTTGGCCAGGCTGATCCCAAACTCCTGACGTCCAGTAATACATCTGCTTCAGCTTCCCAAAGTGCTGGGATTACAGGCGTGAGCCACCACACCCAGTCAAGAACACATGAGTTTGAATTCTGGCTCCACAATGTCTCAGCTGCAGATTGCGGACAAGTGACCCCATCTATCTAAGCCTAGGTTTTTGCTTCTGTAAAATGGGGGTAGTGTCTACCTCATATAGACCTTGTAAGAGTCACAAGGCTTAGCTCCCTTTCACAAATGAACAGTGGTGCCCTTCTCCTTCTAACCTTCCATTCTCTGTTGCTACCGTCTAGGTTATTTTGCCCTGGCCAGGTTTTCAAAGAACAATTTTAATAATCGATTTGAAAGACCATAAACAAATTGTTTTAATTCTTATTCAAAAAGAAGAGGGATTAATATAAAATAATCAACAGATACCTATTGTGCACTGTGCTTGAGAATAAAAGGAATTGTTATGAGAACTTTCTAGAGGTTGAAATTACTGATTTGATTGAGATTTTTGAATTATGGGTAGATTTTTGTTTTCCTTGCATTTCCTGACACTGAGACCTAGGGTTAATTGATAATTCATTACAGATAAAAATTCGCTAGTTCTGGGTCTAGTGCTACAGAAGAAAACGAATATAGCCCATCAGTTGTCTGTGTTCCCAGAAATGAGACATTCGTGAGTCACTGAGCTCATACATCCAGTGCCTTCTTCAGGCTCTGAATTCTGTGCACAAAGACAACAGCAGGAGAGTTGGCTCAGGGAGCCCTGCTTTGTTTTGAGACACTCTCTTTTTTGGAATATCCTTTTCATCTATCAATCAGGGCTGTAATTTCCCCATCAAGGAAATGAATATATGAGTCTTATCAGAGGTTTTAGTCTATCTGTGAACATTATGTGCAAGGAATTAAGTTAATCATACATTTTTGGTCATGACACCATTTCTATTAGGTCCGTGTTCTTTTTATTCCATAAATACATATACAGTACCAGGCCTTTCCCATGAGCCATGCACAATCCAGCACTTTGATGTTTTAATTTTTTTGGCTAGGGGCTTGGGGGCAGACAGTGTTGTTCTCTCACCCAGACTGGAGCGCAGTGGCAAGATCTCAACTCACTACAAACTCCACCTCCCAGGTTCAAGCAATTCTACTGCCTTCGCCTCCCGAGTAGCTGGGATTACAGGCACATGACCACCACACCTGGTTAATTTTTGTAACTTTTTTTTAGTAGAGGCAGGATTTCACAATGATGGCCAGGCTAGTCTCGAACTCCTGAACTCGAGATTTCCCCCGTTGGCCTCCCAAAGTGCCGGGATTATAGGCGTGAGCCACCGTACCCGGCCCTATCCAGCCCTTTTAAAATTACCTCCTGGCCAGGCCCAGTGGCTCACGTTTGTAATCCCAGTACTTTGGAAGGCTGAGGTGGGCAGATGGCTTGAGCCCAGGAGTTTGAGACCAGCCTGGGCAACATGGTGAGACCCCGTCTCTACACAAAATACAAAATATTAGCCACATGTGTCGGTGTGTACCTGTGGTCCCAGCTACTCAGGAGGCTGAGGTGGGAGAATCACTTGCACCCAGAAGGTCGAGGCTGCAATGAGTCGATATTGCACTACTGTACTTCCTGCCTGGGCGACAGAGCAAGACCCTGTGACGAAAAAGAAAAAAATAAGATTACCTTACTTAATCCTCATAATCAGACCTAATGCCAGGTAAAAGAACTTAGTGGTCCAAAACAACTACTTTATTGTATCTCATTATTCCACAAGTTGGTCTGGCCTCAGCTGGGCAGTGCTTCTGCCAGGTGTCTTTTACACAGTCAGATGGCATTACACAGTGCTGCGCCACCTGGCCCGCATCTCTATGTGGCATCTGTTTCTAGGCCCCTTG